AGACTCCAAACTAATTAGAAAAACTCCCTTTTTATTCCCCAGAATTCTGAGCTGCCACTAACAAGGCACTTTTCTCAATCTAACATTTATAGGACCCACATTCTTACCACCACATAACAATCCGGAGGACCCATTTCTAACTTCTGTAATACTTTTAAAACCTTATTCAAATTAATTTTATATCATCAAATGCTACTTATCTCAGTATGTTTAGCATTTCTATAAATGCCTTACATGTTTAACCTCATCCATTTTTCTCAGACACCCTGAAGCTAAAAAGGACCACTGCTACAAATGGAAAAAAATGTCATGTCTAAGGTAACCTGGTCCTCTGAGCTCACAGTTCGCCTTTCTTCACAAATATCATGTATTGCAATCTTTTTTATATGAGAATGTTCTAGATTTTTGAAAAGCATAAATAAAAAGATATAAAAATCAAAGTAAAAGGCAACCAGCTTAAAGTCCAGAAAGAGTACAGAAGTGGGGAAGAGGACAACAAAAACTGCTTGTTTAGAACAAGAACAGATAAAGGACACATAGCTAAGGGATGATGTGGTAATTACCAAGCCCTGAAGGCACAATACAGACCCCATTCAGCTTCATAGCATGTCTTCATGGAGGAGCCTGATCCTCACGCTTGGAAGGTTAGAATTCTAATAAAAGCAAGTTAACACCCAAGACAAGTAGCAGTGACAGGAGACAATAATGGGATAGTGCTAGTTCAAAAATATTTGCTCTTTCATCAAATTTAACTTTTTTCAGATCCAATTTAATAACTTCTGGTTATTTATGCAATCTTGACAAGAAGTGAAACATGACCAGAAATGAAAGAACGCATCCTCAATTTTCAAAGTAAGGCAACACAGAGATCCAGAAAAACATCTATGGATTACCATGCCACAATCTGCCAAAAAATTCTAGAATGGGTATACCACAAATCTTTAAATACAGCAAAAAGAAAAAGCCACCAGATACCTTAAGCTCCTTACTAACACGGGCTCTACAATATTTCTTTTTTGGTTTCATTTTTTGACAGGATTACTAAAATGGAAAAAAGGAATATGAATAGGGACACTTACATAATTGACACTAACAAGCCAATCTGATAAGATCTTTTAATGATAGGGTGGTGAACAACATAGAAAATGCTTAACTACCAAAGCTAAGAAATCTGTTAAACTCAACTAAGAGGATGCATAACATCAACCAATTTGGTTGGAAGACTTGAGTAAAATATCACAAGGTTTCATCCTTTCCCACAATCTACACAACTATCAATTTAAAAAAAATTAAATCTATAGACCTATTCTTCACACCCATACCTGCCACGAAGCTGCCTAACACAGGCAGCTTGACAAAATCAGGATCCACAAAGGTCACAGCAGGCCAAAATGATGGTCCAATGCAAAAATGAAAATCAAAAGGGAGTCAAGGCCAGCACTTCAGATTTTAAAATTCAAAAATATGAACAAGTGCTGGTCATGGTGGCACACGCCTGTAATCCCAGCACTTGAGAGGCTAAGGCAGGAGGATCACTGTGAGTTCCAGACCAGCCTAGGCTACACAGTGAGTTCCAGGTCAGTCTCAACTACATAGTGTGACTTGTCTCAAAAAAAACCAAAAA